AGTCAGCAAGGGCTGGCTCCCGCACACCACTGTCTCCCCACTCGAATATCAGCTCCTTGGGGACAGGGATCCACGGACTGATTTTTCATCTATTTTATTCACTGTTGTTTTCCCAGCTCTTTGAACAATTTGACAAATTAATTAATTCATTCTGTCATTCAAATATATTTTTAAAAACTGGCCTGATACCATGTTAGATATTTGAGGTCCAGGCTGAACAAAGCAAGCACAGCCCTCACATGGCAGGGGAAATCAACGTCACATAATCAGTTGCAAATTAAGTGTTAAATTACAATTGTGGTGAGGGAAGCTATGAGGGAGAACTTGACCTCTAACAGGGACTGGTCAGATAAGAGCCCCCGAGTCCTCCAGGTTGGCAGCTGTCAAGACAAAGCCACAGATGTCCACTAAGCACCTGCTGTGTGAAAGGTAACCTGAGGAACACCCAGACTTACCCTGTCCCTCTCAGAGCTTACAGCCTTGGTAAGACTGATGAGGGAGGAACTCCTGACAATGCTGTGTTTGTGTAACATGGACGAGGGCTCATTCGTCCATTCACAAGAACTTACCAAGCACCAACAGTGTGCCAGCGCTGTGCTGGGTCCTGGGGAGGCAGCAGACAACAAGGCAGCCCAGTCCTTAGCTGTCGTGACAATTCTTCTGGTGTCTGCAGCTGGGGGCTGGCTCCCAGTGTCACTGTACTCTGAGCTCTCTTCTGGTATGGGCATACCTCTTGCTGGGGACGAGGAGAGGCACAGAGACTCGGGGAGCGTTCTGTTCCCATCTCACTCATCTTCCCAGGACCCCATTTCTGATGGGGGAGAATATTTTTAGGACTCTGGGACCCTGCTGTGATGCAGGGGGTATGGGCATTTATCACTGTTGTTTCAGCAGAGGAACACTTATGGAGCACCAGCTACATGTGCTAGGACTCTGCGCTAGGCTCTGGGGAATCAAAACTGAATCAGATCAGCTCACGTGCCAGGCATATGATCCGTCCTTTCAATACCATAGGATAAATGCATCAGTGCTAGAGTGGAGCCATGTGTGTAGTGCTAGAGGAGCCCAGAGGAAGGAGCCTCTAAGCCCAGCCAACCTGGAGAAGGCTTCCTGGAGGAGGTGACATTTGACAGAAGTCACGAGCCATAAGTGGGGGCAGGTGGAAGGGTGATGGGAACTCTGAATCCACTGCTTCTCCCATCCCACAGGATTTAATCACCCTTCAGTGAAATCCTCCCAGGCTGTGAGAAAAAGTGCTGTTTTTCAAAAGCACGAGGCATCATCCAAAAACATCTGTATTTGTTTCAAATGGAAGTGACCACTGCCAGAAAAACAACAAAGTTGTTTTGTCAGAACCTAGTCTGTATTTATTCCTTGGTCTTTGTTTAATAAAATTAATTCCTCAATGGTTTCCCTTGGGACAGTACAGATCACTAGTGGCCATAAATCCTCAGCGTTCTAAAAACAGTATGAAAGGAGAATACACAGTGAAGCCAACTGACAAACTGGCTGTTTGTGGGACCATCCTTCTGGAATGCGAGCGATAAGCCTTCTGTTCCTACCACACTTTGCACCCTCACGCAGTGTCTGCGCTTCTTTCAGCCTCTTGGAGAGGGGACCCAGGACAGCAATAATTCTGAGATTTGTTTAAAGGAAGGAACTGAGCCTGGCGGCCTCAGTTAATAAAAGGGAGACTGACTGCTGGGTCTGGGCACCTTCCCCTGGGAGGATTGTGAGGACTTGCTATCTGCTCGGTTTAATGATTCTCAGTCTGGCTGCACACTGGAGTTATCGGGAGAGCTTTAACAAATGCTGCTGCTTGCATCGCACCCCAGCCAGTCCGATTTCAGAGGGGGAGAGATTAGGCCTCAGGATTTTCAAAAGGTCTCCAGATGGTTCTAATGGGCGGCTGAGGTCGGGCACTGCTGCTTCTGTAGCCCAGACCTTGCAATTATTCATGGACTGTCTTGCGGGCATCCGGCCCATGTACTGAAAGGAATAAACATTTCATTGCCTCTCTACCTACCCTGTGGGGGAAGCCTTTCGGAAAAAAGGTTATTGCTTCAAGGTCCTGCTTTCGAAATGCTACTTCAAAGGGGTTCTTTCATGTTGGTTTTTTTCATTACTATAAAAACTCTTGTTAGAAAATTTGAAAACAGATCATTATAAGTAAGAGAATAAAAACCACCTATACTCTCACCACTCCTTTGTAACCACCATTGGGGAGGTTCCTGTCCCCCAGCTTCAGAGATGGGCTTGAGATTTGCAGGGGAACTTTGTTTCAGTGTGCTGGGGCATCGTTTTCCAGCCATCAGGGCCTTGTGCAGGGCCTCTCCCCTCCCTATTAGGGAGCTTAGAGTCTGGCAAGGGAGACACAGGAAATACATCACTACGTCAATGCTGGTGTAATTAACACTGTGATATGTGCTAAGAGGGAAAAGGACAGAGGCTCTCTGACAGCCGATGGGTGAGACCAAAAGCTCTGAAGAACAATTGAAGGTCCTCATATCAAGAGATTAACTTCCCCATCAACATGCAGGCAAACCAAAGCTATTTCAGCGGGGAATTCAGAAAACGACCGCTGTTCCTGAACAAAGCAGTGGTTCCCATTTAACTGTGCTAGAAGTCCTTGAAGTTTCCCAGAGCCAACAGAAACTGTGATGCAGCCAGACTTATCCTTCTAAAGCACAACTCAGGTGAAATAGCCTGTTTCCTTTTTCAGGATTTTACCTTGAGTGGTCCCCACGGCCTGCTGAATGGAGTGTGGACTACTCAGCCTGCTTTAGGCCCCCACCGTCTGGCGTCAGTTGTCCTTCTGATCCTCCCTCCTGCTGGTTCCCCTGGGGTTCCCGGGGTGGAATGCAGCTGCCACACCTGTCCTGCTTCCCTCCACTTCTGCCCATTTACTCCCGCTGTTCCTGCAACCCAGAGTGCCGTTTCCCTCTCTCCCTTCTTTCACACTTGCCTGCTGGCCTTTTCCTATCCATCCTGGACTGGTGGTAATCCATGCCCATTCTGGACTCCCATTGTATTGACAGCATCTCTCTTATGGATTTCTATCGTTTTCTGTCTTGTATTTTAGTTATTTAGGTTGCATCTGGTAGCCACTCTGGCCTTTCCTGTCCTCAAATGGGGCCAGTTTGTTCCACCTCGGGACCTTTGCATTCGCTGTGCTGTCAGTCAGGAACATTCTTCCTAGACCTTCACGTTACTAACTCTTAGGACTCAAACTACAGGACAGCAGGAACCCCTGTGTCTGTTTGGTTCACACTACATCCCCAGCACCTGGGACAAAGTAGGTGCTTCATTTATTGAATAAATGAAGAGTACTCAATGATTCAGATTTTTCCTAGATTTCTGGCTTGTCACAAATCTGTAGGTTTTGTCATTATTCAATTATTCTCTATGATTTTTACATGAGCTAAAGTATTTTCTGGTTATTGGTGCTTTTCCTTATCTCTAAATCCATTGGAAATCTCAATTGGAATTCCCAGTTGGAAGTCTAAGACATAAATACTAATAAGAGATAAAGGAATTTGCCTCTGTAATTTTTTGTTCTACTTTATTGATTTGCGAATGAAAATATTTCTTTTAGCATTTTAAAACCAGAATCTTTGTTCATGGACTCTAAGATTTCAGCATTTTTTAATATTATGATGTAGATTTTATTTTTGAAATTATTTAGTGCATTTAGTAGAGGTGGTGAATAAATCAGCTTTACATTTTTATCAATTTGATACTTTGTATTTCTTTAAAAGCATAATAAAGTATGAAACTCAAAGACCTAGGAGATTAAAGTGTAGTCATTGGATTCAGGGATTAATCAAGCTTTCTAGTTAATTGAGTTTTTACCATAACTGTCATAGTAATAACTTTTAAGCAGAGAAAATTCTTTTTAATATATCAATCCCTTTAATGCTCTCTGATTTTCTCCAACTTTAATGGTAAAGTCACTAGAAGAGCTAGTTATGAAACCAAGCTGTTCTCCTGGCTGAGAAATAATATCATCATGTCAGCCTGTTTCTGCAAAGGAGAGACTGAGTCAGTGATGGATTGAAAATGCCTTTAACCTTTTCATCCTCTGATATATTCTTAGTTCCACTGTAGTCAATGCATTCCTTGAATGCATTCTTACATGGCATTTGAATAAGTAGCCAGGGCTCAGCACTTTGTGGGCAAATAATGAATATAGTTAATAACTATATTTCTTTTTCCCCCTAGTAATCATCCTTTTCCTAGTAAATGTCTTTTTCTCCCTAGTAATCTTTGTTACTTCTACCTAACCTCCTTTGGCTTCCCATTTTCCTTACGTGTTACTGGGATGAATAAATAGAGCACAAAGAGGATTTTCAAAGATACTTCTGGTAGACAAATGGAATGAGGGAAATTACATCCAAAGGGCCTGAGGCAGACTTGGAATAAGGGGCTCTTCTTAGACCTGCCGTGCTTTTGGTGGAGAAGCAGGTCTTTCCACTGTGCCCTCTCTCAGCTTCCCCATCTGCAAAATGTCAGAGACAGTGCCACGTTGTCTCAGCGTAAATCAATGAGACTGTGATTACAAAGCATTTTAGTTCTCAAAGAACAGGAATGGTCCTTGATGCAGTCACGTGCAAATGCCTGCTCATGACAATTTACGGTTCTCAAGAACCATCAAAATGTTTTCAGAGCACTTTCACTGACATAGGAAAAATACAAATTGATGTTAAAGTCACTTAATGCATTTAATAGAGGTAAATAATTCCAACTTTGAAAAATATATTTTTATATATGCATAGAAATTCACCAAAATGTTAACAGCAGTTGCCTCTGGGTGTTAGGATTCCAAGTGGGAGAATTATAGGCAGATTTTCTTTTATATATTTTCCACTATGATCATACATCAATACTTACAATGTTTTTAAAAGTATTTTAGCAAGTGCTGTGGAGTTGCTTGTTGCCTGGCCCTGTGCTGAGGGTCACCTCCTTCGGAGCTGTGTTCTAATGGCGCGACTTTGCCTCAGTCCAGGATCTGTGTGCGGTGGAGGACCACGGCTGTGAGCAGCTCTGTGTGAATGTGCTGGGCTCCTTCGTCTGCCAGTGCTACAGTGGCTACACCCTGGCCGAGGACGGGAGAAGGTGTGTGGGTGAGTATTTCCCCCAGCCCTGCTTAATGAGGAAGGGCAAGCTAAGCACAGGAGGGAAGGGGAGGCCCCCACATATCCAATTGCTCTCCTTTGGCTTTCAATAAATTACTCAGTTCTCTGGACTGGTTGTTAGAATTTGAACTTTAAAGACTGCATTTATGACTGAGGTTAGCATTTTCTCATTCTGGGTCCTCAGAAAAAGGTATATTTAAGATAATCTAAGTAAATACAATTGTCCATTACTGCCTCCCTTGAAAAGGACTGGGCAGATTTTCATCAAATTTGGAGGATATGTTTCGGATGGCCTGCCTTCAATATAGCTCATGCGTTATACATGAAATTCACTTGGTAGTGGGCAGGGTTGCTGAGCAGCACCTCAAAGACGTAGGCAGCCTTCCTCCTAAGTATTAGATCTGCAGTTCAGTGACAGGGTCAAGAGACCACCAGGAATAAGAGCCCAGCCATTCTAGTAAGACACAATGATCAGAGAACACAAACGGTAGCCTCAAACACAAGCCGAGGTAAGAAGTCTTGAGGGCAGTGCTGGGAACAGCAGGCACCAACTTTCAGTCAGTTGAGTGGCTTCCCACTTGGGCGACTTCACATTGCATGACCCAGTGAAAGGTAGGAAAGGCAGGGGTGGCATCTGATTTCTTCAGTGATGGATAGTGGTTCTCCTCAGCACCTGCAGTGCAAGCCCGCAGATCTCTAATGTGCGTGTGGCACCTCCCAGGTTGTCTGCAAAGCCCTTATAACTTGCAGGTCTCAGTCACCCTTCTACTAACAAACTATGCCTGGCAGATCGTAGGTCTTCAGAAACTGAACTGGATACTTATGAGGCAGAAAATCTGGAAGGAAAGGAAGGAAAAGGACTTGACTGACATCAGAACTGGAACGTATAATTTCTAACTCTAAATCCTGCATTTTCTGCTCCATATCCCATTGTTTTCAGGGGCCCTGTTATGTCTTGCTTCCCTCAAACAGTGAATGATTATTCTTTTGCACATAGAATTTACATTTTCTAGCACACCTTGATTCTTAGCTAGGGATGCGGAAGGAAAAAGCAACAAAACAAAGCATGTGGGTGGTAGCCTGCTCTTTGTAGGTGAGTGATGACAGTATCATGGATTTGTGTGTTTTCATACACTGATGGGGGTGAAAACCGTCCTCATCAGAGGTCTACAAATGGAAGTGGTCTACTATGCCTTAGAGTTGTTTTGTTTTCTTCTTAATCTGTGGTAGCGAACATGACAGGTGGCAGGGTACCATGTCCACTAACACTGGCAAAAAAGAAGCCAATATGTAAACACCAACTCATTATTTTTGCTTCATTAATTTTTATTATGCAAGTAATGTACTTTCATTGAGGAACTTAGATGAGAAAATCACTATTAGTAGTTTGTTGTATTTTATGCCAGACCCTTCCCCATATAAATATCTACTTCAAAACATTTTGTTAATGTTTAACAAAATGAGGTCATACTATCTATTTTGTTTTACACATATTTTTTTCCCTTACCTGTTGTTAAATGGTTAGAAGTTTTGGGTGCCGTTGGGTCAGAAGGAAGTCAGGCCATTGGGAGTAAGGCCATTGGATGAGCTTCAGGAAACAGGGCCAAGGTGTCTGGTTGATTAGGGTGAGGGAAGGCACAGGGAGGGCCCAGATCTTGCATGGGTGACAGGGAGTAGATGAAGCAGGGGTGATAGACACCATGGCTGGGGCAGGAGACTTGCCTTGGCCCTTGGGAAACTGGAGGGTAGTGAGGAACCCAGTTCTCTGAGTGTTGCCAAGTAATTGCCTAATCATCCCTGTGTAGTAGTGAACCTTTGTGTCTCTAAGGGTTTTGCTATAACTTCTGGGATTGATGTTTATTGAAGAACCACAAGCGTGACAGTAGATGCTATGGCTACAAGGGAGCAATTGTGGGCTATGTTTATTAGAGATGGGCATTTTTCTTGCTGCTGCTATCAGCATGTAAGGATGTCTTCCTTTCCTCAGGGTGGGGTCCAAGCAGAAGAGTGGAAAATGGGAGAGACTCTGTGCTACCCAGGCCTCATCTATCAGATGATCCTATCATCCTCCTCCTCAACCAAGCACCTGACCCGGTAGAGGCTGGGAGCGAGATGATTAAGAGGTGGTGAATCTTTGTTGCCAGTTGCCTTGGTCAGGGAGACTGGACAAATTCTTAAAAGGTCATTGCTGCTTGATAGAGCTGTGCTGAGTGCAAAGCAAATGATGGAGATAATGGAGGCTACAGAAGGTCAGAGAAGAGGGACATCCTAATGGCTGGGGTGGGGAAGATCTGGATAGGGAAGAAAAAGTAGCAGTTGGGCAAATGTCCAAGGCAAGGGAAGACATGAAAGGCAGTGACAGTGTGGAGGCGGCAGTGCTCTCAAAGCTTGAGGGCTGAGTCTGGGTTGGGAGGCGCAGGCCTTGCTCCTAGGAGCAGGCAGATCGGGGAGTGACTGTCGCAGTGAGATTGCCAAATTGTAAAGCTGAATAGTCTAACCTGAGGACATCAGTCTGAAGGGACTTGTCAAAGACGGAGACTCCGGGTGTCAGACTGAGGGCAGGAAATTCAGGGGAGAGCAAAGGCTGGTTGGGACCCTGGAAGAATTCCATTACCAGCTGGTCTGGGTGGCCTGTGTGTAGATGGGCAGGGAATGGTAAGAATGTGGTGACCATAAATCCCAGTTAATCCAGGACAATCCCAGTTTATGCCTGTTGGCTCAGTTCTCAGTAGCACTCCCTTTCACTTTCGAAGGGGTTCCAGCTTGGATGATAAACCCTAGTTAAGGCCAGCCAGCCTGACTTAAACTGTTGAGGAGATTGGCTATGTCAAAGCAGAGAATTCCTGCAGGTGTGAAGTAGGAGATGAAGTTGAAGATATCAGGTGGAACCAGAGTGTTCGGGGCTTTGAAAATCAGTCTAAAGAGTCTGGACTTTCTCTCTGAAAAAGAGATTCTAATTCTCTGAAAAGGATCCTAATTGGGAGGGACAAATGCAAGGCATCATTTTAGGAAACTTAATCTTGTGGCAAATTGCAGGATAAATTCCAGGAGGAAGGTGGTGAGGGATGGAAAGACCAGTTAGGAGACTATGGTAATCCTCAGGTGAGAGATGACAAGAGCCAAGCTTTGAGACGTGACCAGAGGAATGGAGAGAGAAGAAGGAAGGGCAGAAAGAAGGCGCTATAAATAAAGGGGAGAAGAAACAGTTTGAGCTTCCACGATTCTGGGAGTGATGGCAACAGCAAAGGAAGAATGATGGGCACAGATTTTTGGAAAAGATAATGAGTAGTTTTAGACAAAATGAGCTTGAAGTTGAGGTGGGACACCAACAAGGACGTGTCAAGAGGGAGCAGAAAACAGAGCTAACACCAGAGGGAGAGGTCAGAACGAATGATGCAGTCAGGAAGCAGCATAGTCTATTTCCTTCTACATTTTAATTTCTGTGTATTTTTTCATTTTAAATGTTTGTTTATGGGTTTTTTTGCTTGTTGTGAAGGCATCTGGACCTTCAATACAGTGAGACCTGGCCCCAAATCCCAGTTATGCTACTTACTAGTCCTGTGTCTTTGAGTAAGTCATTTAGTTTTCTGACCTCAGTTTTCTCATCTATAATATAGAGTAATAATACCTACATCAGTGGGTTTTGTGAAATTAAATAAGATAATGAGTAAAGTTCCTAATACACGCTAGGCAATTTTCATTATTGTTATTACTACAACATATTATTATCATTTCCTGGCTATCATGAAGTATGGAGTGTGGAGAGAGTGAAAGCCTGAGCCTTGGGTGGTAGCCACATGTAGGGAGCAGGAGGGAGAAGTGGAGGCAGGAAAAATATCCATGAAGGCACAGCCTAAGGGCTGCGGGGAGGTGGGACAGAGAGAATCAGAATCATGAATATGGCGGGAAAGAGAATTTCTAGTCCAGGTCAATATGAATGTCATGCTCCAGTGAAGCCAAAGGGAACAAAACTTAGAGAAAAGCCATGGAACTGAGTCATTGATTCATCTCAGCAAACGTTTCCGAACTCTCTGCCAGGCACTCTCCTAGGCCTTAGGGACACAAAGATGATCAGGAGACCATTGATAATGATCAAGAGGGGTGGGGTAAAGGGCAGATTTCAAGACATAGGGAGTGGGTGGTAAGGAAATGGGGACAGCAAGGCCAAACTATTCATTTAAAGACGTTTGCTAGATTCACCATGTCCAGCTACTGGTGAATGGATGCAATGAGTTTCCAGATTCAATACTTCCACAGCAGTGGTTCCAGTATTTTGACTCATCCCAAAATTATGACTGTGACCTGCATGAAAATTCAATTCTTAGCCAGACTAAGGACTTTTTTTGACAACATTCCACACTTCTGAGTTAGTGGAACATTAAATTCAAGTGCCAGAGTCCCATCTCACTAACTGCTCATTTCACTCTGGACCGTACTGAATTTATTTCCACATTCAGGTGAGCAAGGGTGGATTACTGACTAAGGTCCTCCTTTTGCTTTAGTTGAGGCCCCTTGTTTGTAATTCATCAGCCTCCACTAAAGCTGTGTTAATTTCTATCCAAAACTGCATGTTTTTCAAAGACCATATATCTCTGTCTTTGAGGTTGAATTTTCTGCTGTACTTGCTCAGCTGGTTTTTACCAACTGCCTTGTCTTTTGGGGTAACTTTGGTCTTGTTTGCATCTTAACTGCCCAAGCAGATTGTAAACCTTTGGGGGCAGAAGCCACTTACTATACTTTTCATCTGTCATAGAGTGGACTTGAAATATGTTTTCTTGAATCATTGACTGAGGTTGAGTGATTGGTGATAATCTCAAGCATTCATGTTTTTTTTAAAGATCTTTTCCCCTTGAGTGGTTTTTGAATTACAAAATCAATTTTTGCTTATTAAAAAAAGTCAGTGTGCAGACGTGTATAAAGTCAAAACCTGAAAGTCATTCCTCCTCAATTTCATTTCCTGGAGATAATCGCTGCTACAAGCCTGGCTT